TTATGGATCCTAAGCTAGAGGTGAAAATATTAATAAAATTAAATATTGATTTAAAATTATAATATTTGATTTTATTTTGATCAAATTTTTTATTTAGTTTAAATTAAATTCAAATATTAAATATATACATATATATTAAAATTTTAGATAGAAAAGTAAAAAATCGAATCAAATTAAATTATATATTTTTATTAGTTATATATATTTCAAATTTTTATAAAATAAAATAATTATTTTATATCTCAATCTATTTAAATATATTGAAAATCATATTAAAATTATATATAAAATTAAAAAAAATTAAATTTCCAAATCAATGAATTAACCAAACCAATATAATTTGATAAAGACCAAATCGAATTTAAGAAAAGATTGATTTAAATTCAGATTAGATTTTAAAAATTTATAATACATTATTCAAAAACTCAGATTAAATTCGATCCGATTTGAATCATTATTACTCTATCCTACACAATGTTAAATTATAATTGATTAATTACACCATTATAATTATAACTTATATGCTTCTCAATGAATTAGTACATAGATCTCAAAATGGCATTGTCATATTAAATAACTCAAAATTTATTTTGTTTTTAATTATTACTTTTCATTAAATTTTATTAGAAAAAATGAATTATTAAAATTAATATATAAAACAAATAAATTATTTATTTATTGATGGTTAAATTGTTAATGAAAATATAATTTGCAATATAAAAAACTATCATTTAACTTAATTTCATCAAAAGAATTAGAATATTTTGATCTTAAAAACAAATTGATTATATTACAAAAATGAAATATCAAAGTTTCATGATATAATCAATTGATTTTTTTTTTTTTTGTAATATAATGAAACATACTAAAAGTTCGATGTTTCATTTTTGTGATATTAAGTTAATCAAACTAATTGCCACTAAAATAGTCAATAAACCAACCTTCTAGGGAAACTTCACCTTCAGCTTCATCCTCAATGGCTATGTCTTCTCCACCATTAGCATTGTTGTTTGAGGATCTAGCAACACTTTTAACCCCCTATCAATTAGAAACAGAAGGCTCTTTGTCCACTGACATCTTGTTTGCTACTACAAAACTACCTTCCTTGTAGCCTCTTTTTAGTTGCAACCCTTGAACCTTCACCCACATTTTCTCTCACCATCTTTTTCATACCTATAAAGTATACAAGAAACAACAAAAGAAAAGAAAATCGAAAACCTACCAAAACAAGCTGAATAAATATGGTCGAAGGCAAAAGTCATCACAGTAAAATAATTCATGGAAACAAGAAGAATTTGTAGTATAATAAAGCAAATTAATTTCAAAACAAGGAGAAAAAAGAAAACAAGCAAAGAAGAAAGACAAAAATTAGAGAAAAAAAGAAAAACAAGAAGAAAAGAAAGTTAGTAGCAGTATTTATAGAAACCCACAAAATTAAAAATCCTAAATAAAATAATGGCTAAATGTTTAATTAAGGATCTAAAGTTTTGATGTTTTCTTTATTAAAGATATCAACTTTAATTTAAATCAATATAGGACTAAACGTTTATCAATGTCTGTAAATCATAATTGCTTAATGGCAATGACTTGCACATGCCATTAAGTGTATTTTATCATTAAATTTTTTATTTTTTCTTAATTAAAAATGCTTTAAATGTGACCTGAAACCAACAACCCCTCATAAACTCAGAAATCGATGACTAACCACCATTGTAACCACTGTCGACAGTTGACTTTCGCTGTTGAAATAAGCTCTAAATTTATCCATTAATCCATCTTGGCTTTCTAATTCATGTTACAATGTATATTTTTCAATAAACACTTAAAAATGCCTAAATCTACAAAGAAGACTTGCGATTTCAACCATAAAAAATCCCATCTTCCTTACTCAAAACGGTCTTATTTTTTATTTTGTTTTTATCCTCCACATTTCCTTTCTTTTCACACTTTCAAAGTGCTCTAAACTTTTCCTCAATCACTGGTGCCATTTTTCTTCTTGTTTAGAGAAAGATTCAAATTTTGAAGAAACTACTGATGACACATAATTGAAGATATGTCACCATAAAACCTATTTGATTATAGATGAAAAGCTACAAAGACTTAAAAAAAAAAAACCAAAACCCTTTGAAACTAACAACTAAAAAAATCGAAACATTACAAAAAAAAAACCCACATCCCCATAAAGGGAAAAATAACACTAAAGGTAATAGGAATAACAAAAAAAACCATAAAATAAACACTGAAAGGGAAAAACAGTTTTGGGTTTTGGGTGCTTTAGGTTATTTTGGGTCTAGATTTTAGTGAAATAGGGGTCTTGGCTTGAAAAAACACATATTAGGAAGAGAAGGTGTTTGGTTGGTTAAAAGAAAAGGTATTTTGAAGTTTTAGGTCATGACTTTGGCCTAAATCTGGGTGGTTTAAAGCTATTTCAGGCAAAACTAAGTATAAATCTAAGATGAAAAGGTCGAGAAGAGTATTTTGTGAAATTTTAAGGTCGAAAAGTGTTTCGTTGATGACAACCGATGATGACTAGACAGCAGCTAGCACAATGGTGACAACCAAAATCTGGGTAACTTGGTTTTTAGAGAGAGATGCTCTTTTTTTTTTCTATTAGAGACAGAAACATAAATGTAAAAAAAATTTTTAGCTTTTATAGTAAGAAAAAAACTACTCTAATTTAATGCATGTGTGTCACACTACAGTGATGGACTCTTATTTTGAACTAACTTGAAAATATTTAGTCTTATATTAAACCAAATTAAAGATGATATCTTTAATTAAGAAAATGTCCAAGTATTAGATCCTAAATTGAGCATTTAGCCTAAAACAATTCTTTCAAAAAAACTATCCAAATAAAAGCAAATTAAATGAAAATAATGTCATCACCAACATGTGCCAATCATAATGTGCCACATATTTTTACAAAATAAAAAATGCAATAGAAAATGCATGATTGACATTAATGTATTTGTCATACAGTTGTATAAGAAAGAAAGCTCATCAACAAAGGCAATAACTTTTAACGTGCAAGTGCTATGTGTGCAACCAAAGCATTGCGACATTCGAACACGTATTTAAATTTTGAAATTAGAAAAAAAAAAGTGACTTACTAAAGGTAAAACCAAAGAATATTGATAAGTTGTAAGTGATCATTCATCAACAAATTGTATGAGATTAGCCATGGTCATACTAATCATTACCAAACAATCTCCTTTTGACGATCACTCTATACTACATGACGATTACTTTTTGAAAACCTACTCAAAGCTATAACTTTCAAAGGCATCCTGACCACTATTCTTACCAAATTTTGAATAAGTTTGAGAACAATTTTATAACTGCCTTCATTCATGAGGGCAATTTTACACTTAATACATCATTAAGCTAAAGGCCTAAGACAAAGCCAATCCAATAAGGCCTATAAAAAGAATAGTGTAGACAAGCTTTAAGGACACCATCTATATGCCACATATCTTAGCCAAATCTCATTCACGAGTATAGTAAGTAGGCATGCATTACATTTGGCACAAGTCATACAATTATGTCTCCAGATATAAGGTTCCAAGGTCAAGGGCTAGAAAGTAAGACTGAATTGACTTTTTTTTATTCCTATCATTTTTGCATCACTTTTTTTACACAATTACTAATTTGAGCGTCACAATATGTTCTGGAGTCTGAACTTGTGCCCTTTTGATAATTTTTTTTTCATTAACAGGTTGGATGTTTTCCTTCCTAAAGCTACTTACAGATCTCATCTTACCAATCCAAAAGTATCACAACTTTTTTTTCCATCCTTGGCTCTTATGTTTTTCTTCTTTTATATTCACTTTGGTGTTTCTCCTTTCCATCTTTCTATCCTTGATTCCTACAACCCTTTTCCTTTTTCTTTTTATTTTAAGAATGAAAGATTGTGTCATTTGAGGAAAACAAAAGAAAAAAAATGCTTAAAAAGTGTTGGAAAACTGCCAACATAAAAAGAATAGTGATTTCTCAATATAATTTTTATTATTTGTTATTGATTATTGATTGATACTCTTTTCGTTTCAAATTCATCTTCCTAATTAATTTTCATAAAATTTAAAAGAAAAAATATTAATTTTATTGTATTTTATGTTAAAGTTTTAATTGTTTTTATAAAATTGATTGTCCATACTTTTAAAGTCAAAAATAAAAAATCATAAAAAATGATTTTTAAATATAAAAATTAATTGTGTGAAGTATTAAAAAGAAAAAAAGATATAATTTTAAAATATTAAAAAAAGAAAAATGAACAAAAAATAAAAATGTTCACTGTTTTTTCTTTGTATTTTTAATTTGTTTTCATTATTGGAAAACAATGTAGTAATTTTATTTTCTTTTAAAAAAGATGTGATAATTGGAAGAAAAATATTTAAATTTGGTTGTTTAATAAATAAAGATAAATATATTTTTTTATAAGAAGTCACAGTTTAAAAATAAAAAAATGAGATTATTAATATTAAAATTTGAATTCAAAATATAGTAAATATCATCACTTAAAAATTATTACATAAAATAACTTAATTAAATTCTAAATTTATAGATAAATATACTTTGATATTGGATAAAAACAAAATTTAAAATTGCTTGGCGTAAGGTTAAACAAATAACAACCACCATCATCACGTACCTCATACTGTATAAAAAGGTCAAATAAAATAATAGATCATATTCCACTAACTTATCAAGTAAATCTTTATTCCTTAATAAGCAGTAATTTACCAAAATACCCTTACTATCCCAAACTCTTTTCTTCTCCGACACGTGCCCTCCAAAGCATAAGTTCCATTGAAACTCATCAACACCTTCACTTACTGTATCATTAAAAAAGTCATTAAACATTGCTATCTCCAACTTTCTAGCGAACACGTGACCCTAATATTTTATTTGACCTGCACGTGTCATTACGTAAATATTCTCAATATCAATAAGCTTATTTACATTTTTAACCCTGTATATTAAATATCTGAAAGACACTACATGATTATATTTGTCATTTGACACTTAGGAAAATTGAAAATTAAAAAATTGGAAGAGTCAAGAAATCTTTTACTACACGTTTTTTCCTCGTGGACCCCACCTCTTCTCCCCACTCTCTTTTGTCGCCGCCAAGGAAAAAAGGGAAAAAAAATTGGGAGAATTTGATTTGGCATATTTATATAGAGAGCTGAAATGTATGTAAATGGTTCGTAGGTTAAGACAACGTACCTCAATCGGCGTTCGTTAGTAACTATTCGGTGATGCTTGGCGTATTGTGCGCACGACCTCCCAAGCCTTGGATCCTGAACTCGCTCTCTTTGATCGCCCACGGAGGTTCAGCGGCTCACCACCAGGACAGCCGTGTAGTGCACTGGCCGGCACATTTCGCCAACTTATCAGCTGATAATCGGCGTTGCCGGCATCACTCCACGGCTTGTCGGCTTGCAGGCTCAGACGGCGGTGCGGCTTCTATATGGCATGCGATCTTGCCATGCGGCGGCAGCGGAGGAGGGCGGAGGAGAGGGGAGGTTTGGAAGAATGTGGAGAGGAAAGGGGAAGGTTCCTGGAATGTGGCTTGGGATGCCAGACCGGCTCGGTGGCTTCATCGGCCCGACTCTGCTTGGCTTCTCTTTGGCGTTTGCGCTTGTCTTGCGCCGATGATTGATTTTGCCGACGTTAATTCTGACGCTGATGACAAAATCGAAAGTACTGACTTAAATTTAATAAATCGCTTCAGCGCCGATGAGAAGAGTAGTAGTTCATCTTCGGCTGCTGCTGCTTCTGCCGCCGCCGATAATTACAAAGTTACAGGTTGGCTATAACTAATTAACAAATTATTGTTAGTGAAAGGTATTTTCATTTAAAGAAATAAAGAAACAAAATTTATTGTCTATTCGATTGGCAATGGCAGGGGTTTTAGCGGATGGACGATGTCTTTTCAGAGCAATAGCTCACGGAGCTTGTTTGAGGACTGGGGAAGAAGCTCCTGATGAGAACCGTCAAAGAGAACTCGCTGATGAACTAAGAGCTCAGGTAAGTTAGATGGAGTTCCTTTTGCTATGTTTTGATAAAGTAAAGGAAAGGAAATGAAAAGAAAGTAAAAGAAAGTAATTTTTCTTAAAAATTTTACAAACTCCATTAATATAGATATAATTTCTCTAATTATATGTGTTTTTTCATGTACATGTTTTTTTCTCAAATTTGTGAGATAGTAAATCAAAAAACTATAAAGCTCTAGCATAAATTAGAGAAAAAAAAAGGATATATGAAAGTAGAGTAAGTAGGGAGACATGTTTAGGTGTGATAAAAAAGTAAATATTAATATCACTTGTCAAGCTTATAATGAATTATTGGAAAAACGAAGAAAACAATAATGGCATAAATGTCATTATATACAACAACAACAACAACACACTAAGCCTTATATCCCATACTTTGGGGTTGGCTGTATGAAAAATTAAATAAGAGAATCAAGTTAGGTTGTTGTTTGAATCTATAAATGTCATTTTATATTTTCCCTAGCATTTCCCCTAATTTGTGGTAATTGAAAAATAGAGTATTTGAGGGAAATGGAGGCATGCTCACTTCCTCTTCCTTTTCTTTATTTTAAAATAAATAATATCAAAACAAGATAAAGGCTTCCCTCTTTCCCCAACTTTCCTTTCCCTTCCCTCTCCTCCCCTCAATCCAAAAATAGGCTTAAGCAAAGTTCATTATTTTTGTTAACATGATTTTAAGTTTGTATCAGGAGTCAAGGTAAAAGTTAAAAACTGAATGTGGGTTAATATTGAATTAACAATTTTAACACATAGTGCGAATTTATTAAGTATTCTGCTTGATTTGAATTAACAGTTTTAACACATAGCGCAAATTAGTTAAATATAAAGTTAAAAACTCAGATGTGGGGTTATTATTGAATTAATGATTTTAACACATAACAAGAATTTATTAGTTATGTGGGTTAATATTGAATTAACAGTTTTAACACCTAGCACGAATTCATAAGTGATTAGGAGTTAAAGTTAAAACTCAATGCGGGGAGTATTATTGAAGTAACAACATTATAGCGTGAATTTATAAGTGAGTGCTGTGTTAATGTAAAACGAACCGCACCTCAAAAATTCCAAATAAGTCTTATGGTTTAACTGGATAAAATTTCCCTTTTGTTATCTAGAAATGATAATTGGAGTTGAAAGTGTTTTTCCCTTTCCAACTTTTCAATGCTATAGGTTGTGGATGAGCTTTTGAAGAGGAGGGAAGAAACGGAATGGTAAAGCTTTTTTTTTTTTTTTGTTATATTGGAAAGTGCATCCTTTTTTTAATCCTTTTATGTAGTATGAAGGTTTTATTTAGAATGGGGTTTCGTTCAATAAGTGCAGGTTTATTGAGGGAGATTTTGATGCTTATGTTAAGGAAATTCAACAGCCTTATGTTTGGGGTGGGGAGCCTGAATTATTGATGGCTTCTCATGTTTTGAAGTGAGTTTTATGCTATTTCTTAACCATCTTTATTTTCTACTTGTAATTTGACTGTGATTTCTTTTGTAATATGCCTGTTGCAAACAAATGAAAAAGTTAGTCGATTTTTTGAGATGCTAATTCATATCCAAGTCAATACTTCATGAATTTTGATATGAATTGTAATTTTGCCATTATTTTCAAAAATTGGCCTGCCACTATTAGTGACTAAAGAGTTGTCATGGTAGGCATAATTAGAATACTCTCAAGAAGATATAAGCAAGGATCTCCTGCCAGGCCGAAATCACATCATTTTATATTATCATGTTTTAATAAACCTTGCATACTGGTGCAAGCATGTCAATTTGCATATTTTGTGAAGAAACTAGGTTTAAGCCACTGTTTGATAGTTACAGCCTGAGGTTTTGGTTGGTTCATTTTGTTGGTATTTGCCTTATTCAAGGAGCCATGCTTATGTCCTATAAAATGATGGCTAAGCAAAACAGAAATTGTTCCTTTCTTGTGCACTGTCCAAATTGCATTATAATCAAAAGCCTAAAGGTGGACTTTGAATTTGAATTCCAATTTTTTAAATTCATATTTATTTTTCCATATGTTTTACTTGACCTCTTTATGTGACATATCATTTTCATTCAATGGGCACAGGACTCCAATTTCAGTGTACATGATTCATGGAAGCTCTGGTAATTTGATAAACATAGTAAACTATGGTGAAGAGTACCAGAAGGACAAGGAGAATCCTATTAATGTGCTTTTTCATGGGTATGGTCACTATGACATATTGGAGTCTTTGCCAGGACAAAATTGCCCCCAAGTAAACACATAGAAGTTGGGTATCATTATATATGATTATGATTGCATACGAATAAGCTGAGCTTATTTCAAATGGAGGATTTCGATTGAACCAAAATTTTGTCTCAGTTTGATAAATTAGCTGCAGGTACCTCAGTTCTTGAAATAAGCTTGGTACAGTTTTGTAGTTTCCAAGATTGTTTCATGATTTTTACAAGTCAATTCATTATATCAAATTGGTGAAGCATTATAGTTGTTTCAGTTTTACTGAAGAATCAGTGATGATTGTTTCTTTTCTCAGAAAATCTTTGTGAAATTCAGAATAATCTTAGTTCTCTTTTCCGCTTTGCTTGCTGCTGCTGCTACGAGATTTGGAATACTTGTTTCCTCTTCTAATTTTAATTTTGAACCAGCTTTTAACAAAAGATATGTTATCCTTAAGAAATGAGTCAGAGAAACAGATTCCTCCAACTTTCATTGCAGGAAAGAAGTAATGGAAGTGGCACTCAAGTTAATGCTGGAGGACATGTGATTTGATTTTAATGGTGATGATTTAAAGGTAGCAGTGCTCATCTTTACACTGCCCCCCACTAAAAAGGAAAAAGCAGTTGTTCATGTGGGAAAGTTGCATGTCAATAAGCATAGAGGTGGTATGGTAACGTGCCGTTGTTGTTAATGATATTGTTTTCGTTTCGACTTTCTAGTGAAATTCTTGCAGTAGCGTGAGGAAGACAATTGGAGTCACACTGTTTTCTTATGCTTCCAAAAGTTGGTTGCCATGGAAAAGATAGATGAAATAAAAATGCTTTGGAAGTAGTAGTTGATTATGTTATCGTGCCATCTCACTCTCTAATTTTAAAGGAAGGACAGGACAACAGTCATCTGTAAAATGAACGTTGTCCAAACATATATAGAAATAAAGGGGAAAAATATTTTCCTCTTCCTTACCCTAGATTCTCCTTCCGGGGACCCTTACAGTGGGATCTTTTATGCTGAACTTTCATGAGCGATCTTAAATTGTGGCCTTCAATTTTAACAAAGGCAATCAAAACAATTGAGACATTTGTTTTGAAGTTAAAACAAACAATTTGGTTTTTTTTTCATTTTAAAATAAATAATTATTTTCAAATTTCGTTTCCTTTAGTATGTTATTGTATTTATTTTTGTTCTAATAATATGCAAAATAAAAGAAAAAATCATTTAGGGAAAATTTTTTCAAATTATTGTCTACTTTTAAGTTGGTGTGAGACTAAGAAAACCCTTTAACCATAGTGTATCTTCTCTCCCCTTTCCTCCATTGAAAGGGTAATGTCCTCCCTGAACAAAAAAAGAGAAAATAGGTGGTAATTTTGAAAAAAAAAATGAATATTCAATTCAAAACGGATGGATTAGATACTTTTATTTAAATTTACTTGTAAATATCAGGACATCAAGTTGTAAAATATTAAAGAAATTATAGATAACTTGTGATATAAATGGATATATAGCTCACAGCCTCCTAACCATGAGATTCACTCCATATTTAGGCTCTATAATCAAGCTCAGGGTTGGACAATGCCTATATTCGGGTGAAGGAGAGAATGTGAAGTTTGAGAGAGCAAGAGCAAGAAGTAGCTTGAGTTCTGCCATGGCAAAATGCTGTCCTAAACATGTATGGGGTCCGAACCCGAAAGGCAAATACACATGAGGAAATTTGCAGGCGCCACTGACTCCATTGGCAAACCTTTCGGGACTGAATTTGTCAGCGTCAGGTCCCCATATTTCAGGATCCTGGTGAAGTGTTACTGGTAGTAACCAAATATTTACTCCTTTCGGTACATCAATATCTCCAAATTTCATACCTTCCAGGGCCTCCCTAGATATAATTGCTCCTGGTGGATATAGCCTTAGTGTCTCATTGATCACCATTGTTAGCTGCCATCCATTCAAATGTGGTTAATTTCAGGACATGTGAAGAGATATTAGTGCCTCAAACCATATTTATTTGATTCTGATATGATACTTACTGTTTTCATTTTACGGATCAAATCGGCATCTGGTAATTCCCCCCCACAAATTTCAAGAACCTCTGCACGAACTTTATCTTGCCAATCTGGGTTCAAGGCTAGAAGCAACAAGGTCCAAGATGCTGTAATCGCAGTTGATTCATACCCAGCAAAATATATGTTCTTGCAGTTGTCAACAATAAAGTTGTCGGTTGCAATAGGCCCTAAATCACTGCTTTTAGCACCTTTGAGAATCATTTGTAATAGGTCCTCCTTTGATGTTTCTTCCTTGGTTCCATAAACTGCCTTCAAGATTAACGCTCGAACTTCTTTCTCCAACCTCCATATTTCCCTGTTGCTCTTTGTAGGAAGATATCTGAAAATTCAAAATTCGATCATTTCTGTCACTTGTCCTACACAAATTTGTCAGTTTCCGATTCAATTTATACAATTCAAGAAATAAAGAAAAGTAGAACCTCATTCCAGGTAACCCATTAGATAAAACTTTTTTGGACATGGCTTCTTGTAGAGCTCTGATCTTGAAGAAGATCTCTTCTCCGTTTGAATAATTGCTTCCAAAACAAGCCCTTGATATAACATCTCTAGTAAACTTTCTCAGATAATCGTCGACCTTTATGTCTGCAGCTCCACCCTCACTGTCAATCTTGCTTTTCCACCAGTTCACAACCATAACAGAACAGTCTAGCATTAAGTTTGTCATAGCCTACAACATTTGGAACAATTAAGTGTCCCAGTATATGTATGATCAGCACTCTTCCGCTTCTGCATGTTGAACATATATATAGAACAATACATATTGCAGAGTCCAAAGTCCCAAGGTTTTATACACATACCTTGACCTTATCAATGTATAATTCAGGAGCAATGATTTTCCTTTGATGGGCCCATAATGCACCATTTGAAGTTAGAATGCCTTGACCAAGCAGAGGACCTCGTTCTTTTTGTTGGTAGGTAGGATTTCCCAAGTCCATTGAAGTGCATGTAATTATTTCCTTCACCAAATCAGGATCAGTCATGTGTAAAATCTGTATGTTGCCCAATGAAAACAGAAATGTTGGGCCTGCAAAAAGGGTTAAAAAAATCAGGTTGTTTGACGGTATTTCCTTCATAGTTTAGAGTTTCATTAAGCAGGATGATTGAAATTAGATTGTAGAACGGATATACCATATTGTTCTCTCCATCGTTCGAAGAAAGGAAACACAGTGGAAGAACTGTTGTGGGTCATCGGTTGTTCTCCTTCTTGGGCCAACATTGACACCTTGGATTGTGACTTCTTTAGGTCAAGAATATTTCCAAGCAAGAATTTTGGAGGGGGACCTCGGATTCCTTGCTTTCGAAGCTTGGCACGAAGCCTTTCAGGCTTCCAAATCATAGAATCAAACAGGTGTATGAGCAGGCCAACTAATCCAATCAACAAGCTTGTTCCAGTGACCTTGACGAGCATCAATATCAACTCCATGGCTAGTAACTCTCTTGTTATTTCCTTTCTATTGCAGTGTGGAAAATGTACCCCATTATTTTGATGCCCGAGATATATATAGGCCTAGTGTTGTATAAGATTTTCTAATTGCTACAAAATTTGGTATGTCAAGAAATAAAAAAAAAAAACGTTAAAGATAGGTAACTTGGTGGATGCTAGAACTGGGAATCTTGAATTTATGGAATGGGTACTGCCAAAGATAACAATTTGAGCAGTCACTTTATGCTCTTTTTTGGCCAATTATAAGTTTGTCAGTTTACCTTTGTTGTTGAGCATATATCTTGCATCCTGCACCGTCTAAACCCCATCATTTGATCAAAATTTGGTTGAGCTCCATATTCAAAGAGTTTATCTGGATTTTGCATTTTTTTTTTCAAAATAAAAAAAGAAAAAATCTTGTAAATCTCGCACTATTAGTTTTAATGGGAATATATAACTTATTGTAGTATAATTAATCAATTATAAGAAGTAGATTTTTACATATTTTTTTTTGTTATGATTGACTGATTGCAGGATTAAACTAAAAAGAATTATACGTAAAATTATCCTACTCCGATTAAAGCTGGTTTTACTGAATGAGTTCCGATGTATTAGATAGCGTTCCATCACTCATTGGGGATTCCAATTTGGCATTATGCACCAGGTCGAAATCAAACTTTTTAGCTTTATGTGGCTTCTGGGTGACTAAAAACTTGGAGCACTTGGATGCCTTGGTTCTAACTGCAGTAGATTGAACCAATAAACTTTTTATAGCTTAATTTAATATGACTATTTTTAAATTTTTATTTGATTTAAATTTAAATAAGCAAACCAATAAAAGTTATAGTGAATAATCTAAATAACTAATAAAAACTTGAAATATAAGGGCAAATTCATTAATTTAAAAAATTTTTAAAGTATTTACGTCTTTGGCTTTTAATATTTTTGGAATTCAAAATGGAAAATTACTAGCTAGATTTATACACTATAGAGCAAATTGACACGGTCTTATGAGAATAAAAAGAGAAGAATGTCAATATTGTGTTGTTTCTATAGGATATATAGGACAATAGGGAAAATGTACATTACAAGGAATATTAGTCATAGGAAGAAATTGCTATCAAATCTTAACAATTTTAAGTTCCAAAAAAATTAAGAAAAAAAGAATTTGGAAGTACTAAGAATCGAATCACATTCTTTGAAAATCTACCTCTTAAAAAAAGTGGATTAACTATTTAGGTTAAACCTTAAATTTTTTATGATATCTAATTATTTGTTAATTGTTGTAGATTACACAAACAACTTATTATTATTTTTTTAAATCTAAGTATATAATAAGAAAATGCGTATGTATCCTTTTTAATATGTGATTCATTATTTAAGTTATGATTCTAATACAAATTATGCATTTAGTTCAAACTTTTTTTAAATGTTTTATAACTCTAATAAGCTTACTCTCACTTACTCTCACGCGTGAGAGAATGCAGTTTGCTTTTTAAATTTCTTTTGTTAACCTCTTTATATTTTTCGAGCTAGATGTACTTAAGTTAGAATATAAGACATCAATCAACAATCAAATTAGACATTTTTTGTGTATTATTAATATTTACTTACGAGATAATGAAAACTCAAAAGAAATGGTTTCTTTTACATTGTGTTTTAAAGATCTTGTCCTATGGTATATTTGTGGTTTATATCATGTTTGGTATATAAGATTATAATAAGATTAGATAAAATGGTATTATGAATACGATTACATTAAATAATATCATATTATCTTATGTTTCATGTGTGCAAAGATTAAAATAAGATAATTTATTTATTGATCAAAATTATTTTTTCTCAAAATTTATATATTTTAAATTATTGATATAATTTTTAAATGTATAATATGACATGTAAGTTTAATTTCATGAATTAAAAATAATCATCTTCACTTTGGAAGGATTGAATCATCCTATACAAAAAGAACGATAATTTTCTTTGTAATCCTATTTTTTTCAATTAAATACAAATCAAACATAATATATAATAATTATCATACTATCCTATCTATTATCTTATATACCAAACATGATTTTACTTCTTAAATTATTATATTATATTATATTTTTTTGTATTACTTTGACTGATATTTTTATTATTTATTATTTGTATTTTATGCTTATATTTTATTATTTATTATATATTTTTTAAAAAATAAAAAATAAATAATACAAATATCAATCACATGAAGTTTTAAAAACCCATTTGAACTGCTTAAATATAACATTCCAACGTGAATATTTATTTCTTTATTTTTAAATAATAACAATTATATATAAAATACAACTACCTCTAAAGCTTAAAGCTTGAAACATAAATAATTGAATTTTTTGTTATATTAATGCAGATTAAATCATGGTTGTTAAAAAATATGATTTTACAATGATTACTAAATTAGAAATATCTCAAAAAGAATGGGTCATCAAAATAATAGTTCTTCGAAGAGGAAATTTTGAGATATATTCAAATGACAATGGTACATGAGAGATAGAAAAATCATTTTAATATGTCATTATCATCTTATTGGATTATTTAAATGTTAGACGAT